TTCTCTCTTTTCTCTCTTCTCTCTTTTCTTCTTTCCTCTCCTACTTCTTGCTGTCTACTTTACTCTACAGTCAACGAACAAGACAGAATTCTATGGCAGGTCAAACTTCAACATAACCTAAAAAAAAATTAAGAATATAAAAGTTTTTTATAACACGCTATAGAAAACTGCTTGGCGATTAGGCGAGGCGAGCCTCCAAGGGCGCCTTGCCACCTAGGCATCGCCTTGACAACCATGCACAAGAACATAGTCCTTACATTCATAGCATTGCACCAAGGACAAGTCCTACTTTGACTTATTTGCAAGGAATGCAACTTCAACTCTAGAATCATGTTTTCCATTATAGTAGACTAACTGATCAACCTTGTTTCTCCCCTTAGGAGTTCTCCTAAGGTTGCATCCAAGCTAGGAACTACTAAAAATATTTGATCTAATCACTGCATATTTAGGTCCCAAATGCATATTCTCTCCTCCTATCAAAGTGTACTTTCATAAATTTAATGCAACAATCAGATAAAAATTCTTCCAAGTGTAATAACTCGTATTCAGTACACAAGTTCACAACAACAGCATGATATTCTTGGATCCTTTTCTCCCCTTGACCATAGGAGAAGATCTCAATTTCAATTTGGTATTGACAAGATATATTAAATTGCTGTAGACTTTCACAAATAGTCAAACATCTCCCTGGCAGTCCAGAGACTTCTTATAGGAATAGCCACATCAGTATCAACTGAGCTAAGAATCCAAGAAGTAATTTTTGCATCATCTATCCTTCACTAAGGCAAATTCTTWGCATCTGAATCACCCAGTTTAGAAATTGACCCATCAATATACCCCACAGCCCCTTTCCTTAAACAAAAACTCTCATAGAGCATAGTTGCTCCCACCAAATCTCATAGACAAAACATCTGCTTTCTCTCTAATGACATTGAAGCAATATAACACCTAGAAGTAACCTAGAGTGAAGGGTTGCTTCAATATAAAAGTGGAAAGAGCTGAGCTTCTGCCCTATTAAGACTGATCTGATCTCTGAAACAACAACAGAAAGTGATAAACCACAAAAACTCCCATAGAGCATAGTTGCTCCCATCAAATCTGATAGACAAAACATCCGCTTTCTCTAATGCCATTGAAGCAATATAACACCTAGAAGAAGTAACCTAGAATAAAGGCTTTCTTCAATATAAAAGTGGAAAGAACTGAGCTGCCGCCCTATTAAGACTGATCTGATCTCTGAAACAACAACAGAAAGTAATAAACCATCACTACACAAGGAAAAGTCCCTTCAAAAATATAGCTGAAAAGAGAGACATACTGATGACAGTAATAAATGAAAACTGATCTGCCAACAAGAAAAGAGGGACCAAAATCCATCAAACAAATCCAATCTCCAATCAGATTGCAGAGTAAATAGAGCTAACATGGACAGCTTCAAATCTAAAGTTCCATGCAGATCTGATTATCCAACAGAGAGAAAAACAGAGAAAACCAGTTCTGTACCACGATTCTCCAGAACAATGATGAGAAACTATGCTGATTGATAGACTTTAATCACAAACCCTTGATCAATTACTTTAATCCAAGGTTCAAACTGAAAGCAGAAATATAAGCCTGAAACCCTTGATCAATTACTTTAATCCAAGGTCCAAAACATCACATGAGAACAGGTAAGAGAGACCTGTTGTGATACCATGTTATAAGCAGTTTGAACAAGAGACAAATGTTTGAATGTGTGTGTGTGTGTCTAATTGATGCGCATGCCACAAAGAATAACTTATATATCATTAGGTAAACATATGAGAAAGGACCATTATGTCCTCTTACAAAGGTTAAAAAAAGAGTTGCACAAATACAATACAATGTATATGATACATAGTACAATTATACTCTCAAACCCCATAAATATGAAAAATAAAAAGATAAAATGAGAATCAGTCCTTGGCATCTCTACAAAAAAAAATAAAAAATAAAAATATTCAGAAATTTCAGAAAATCAGATATCTGACCACTCATCTCTTACATCAAGTTGCATTTCTGGCTGGGCATTGCATATATTCAACTTCTGATAGTATTTGTTTTAACAATAACAGTAAATAATTTAGGCCTAGTATGTGCCAGATTAAGTGAATATATATCCAATCCATCAAAACCTAGTTTTGTAAAAAAAAAGGAACAAATCGATTTAGCAGTATTCCAAACATATCCTGTACATGTGGTCCTACACCAATGTTAGTTGTTTCTGACATGGGTGCTTGGGCAAAATGAAGTGCATGTATCAAAGCCTAAAAATACATACTTTCATTATGTAATATGAATTAAAGCAATGAACAAAATGAATTACCCCACACGAATCACAACCAGCACCAAAGTGAACCTTTGGTTCATGCTCAGTGAACCAAGATAAGCTGTCTCTGATAGTTGACAAGAGCATTCTCGAACCCTGTTTCCCATCTTGCATTGTCCCTAAAAGCATAGATTTAGAAAATGCCACATAAGCATCATATAAGGATATGGAACTCTTAATAGAAGCAAACTCAAGAGGCAATATGAAAAAGAACTAAGCAGCCTGAAGCTGACATTAAGAATAGTTCCTATTGATACATTCCAGATCAGAGCATAGCTGTCAAGGAAACACCTAGGTTCCATTTTCGATCCAAACTGACTGAATGAACACCCCGTAGAGATGAGATAAAAGAGAGAAGACAGAAGGGAGAAAACTTAATGGTGATCCCCACAGTATTTTTATTGTCTCTGTTTATGTTATTGCTTTATTACTTTCTGTTATGCAGCTTTTTTTTATTTCTTGTTATAGGCGGCAGGGCATTACTATCATCGTACCTCATTTTATTAATTTTCTCTGTGTCCACTCTTCTCTCTCTATTCTGCACTCTTTCTCCCCTTTTTTCTCTTTTCCTGTGGTGAAATCTAACCGAACTAGGTCCGGTCATCAATCTTTACTGTCAACTTGGTATCAGAGCAAAGTTACTTCTGATTAGGGTTCCTCAAGGTTGCTGGAACTTCAGCACTTGTTGTCTGGTTCTTCAAGGTTGCTGGAGATTTCTATTGCTACCCAGGGTGTTGTGTACTTGGAGACTGCCCAGTGACCAGGAGGAATCAGAGAAACCAGGCACAAAGTTTAGGCTTAAACTTAAGATTGGAAGTGGAGCTCAGGGTTTTCTGGGCTGATTTCCAGGTTTTGTTGAGAACAACAGTGATTAGAGGTTGTTTAGACAGTTCTGAAAGGAGTGGCTGCTGTTTTTATTTTTCTCCAGACCTAATCTAGGATTTTCTATAAATCCTTGATCAGTTTTCTGCTTTGATTCAATTTCTGTGATTGAATATTCTCTTGGAGAGCTGTTAGAGGATTGTTTTCTGTTTTCTGGAAGCTGTTCAGGCCTGCCTAGCATTCTTTAAGGACTATTATGAACCCTAGGAGCTGTGTTTGACATGGAGACAGCAGGGAATGAGATGAGATCACATGGAGAAGGTTCTATCGGGGCTGGAAGTGTGTCAAATAACTCATTTCAAATCATAACAATTAAATTTGATGGCATAAATTAATTGGAATAGGCTCTGTCACCCATGATGGCTATTGGAGGAAGAAGAAAGCTAGGTTATGTGACTGGAGACACCAAGAAAACCGATCTCATGCCAAATGGGTTCAAGAAAACTATTTGGAATGACTTGGCTGTATAATTCTATGCAGCCACATATTAGTAGGAACTATTTATGGGTGAAGACAGCCAAGGCAATTTGGGAGAACATGAAGGAGACCTATTCTCAGCCTCTTAATGTTGCTAGGGCATATGAGTTGAAGAATGAAGTGAATAATCTTTAAATAGGGGGAGAAACCAGTTTTTGTTTACTTATGTACCTTGAAATCATTGTGGTATGAAATTGATCACTTGGAACAGATTGAGTGGGAAAGTCAAAAGGATGCAACAACATAGAGGAAATTGGTTGAGACTAATAGGATATTTGAGTTTCATGCTGGGTTGAATTCAGAATATGACATTGTAAGATATCAACTACTTACTAGAGATAGTGCCACTCTATCTCGAGCCTACTCCTTGGAACACAGTATGGAAAGTAGGATGAAGGTGATATTACAGATTTTACATATAGAATCAGCCTTAGCAACTGTAAAGCCAAAGCATGGTAGGGATAGGGAGAAAGACATGAAGAAGGAGGAAAAAGAGGGATGTGTTCTATGATTTCTGTAAGAAGTCGAAGCACACTAGGGACACTTGTTGGAAAAGTGCATCAATCTCTCCAGGAGGCTCAGAAACAGCCAGAAACTAAACCGCCCCTGTAAAAACCTAAAGGAATCCAAAAACAATCTGAGCACCCAATACTAGGTCAAAAATAAAGAGTTCAACTTGACTAGTACTCTTCCCCGCACTCTAGTTCTCCCTAATTTTGATTCCAAAACACAAATCACCTTCTTGATGACTAAAACCCACCAAAAAAATCCAAGAACTGGGCAATCTGAAGTAGATCGATCAACCCTTTATTTACTCATGAAATCGGCTGATCTAGGACTGCATGGATGAACTCCATGAAACCCTAACCTTGCTCTGATACGAAGTAGAAATCTGTTGAATCAAAAAATCTGTAGAGAAGAAAATAAAATAAGTGTTTCTTGTGGAAGAAAAAAAAAGAGAAGAGAGGAGGTTGGGAAAGAAAGAGAGAGCAATACCAGTTTTGGCCACCCTCTCCATCGGTACTTATACTTTAAGTAAAAAAGAGTACAATGACTAATATGCCCTTATAGGCAGTTAACACAAACAACTGAATAAAAAACTTAAAAGCATCACTCCAAAGGGAACCAACAAGTGTGTTGTGGCCCCCACTTATTGTATCCCTTGGATTATGGATTCTGGTAAATCAAATCACATTGGCTAAATCTTTGAATTGTTATATAACCTTCTTTACCACACATTGTATTTTCTAGACCTAAAGCCTCAAAAGGTGATTGGGAATGGCCATTAGGCGAATGGAATATACCTGCTTGAAGTGCCTAAGAAGAACTAGTTATCATCACAAAGGGTGGCTTTGAAGTCAACTGTGTCATAGTCTTTTCATAAAATTAGGTTATGTCATTTTGGTTCATTTGGGTCATTTGTCCTTTTCTTCTATGCATCTTTTATTTCCTAACTTTTTTAAAAGTGTCAGTCTTTCTAGTCTATAATGTGAAGCATGTCAATTATCAAAGCATTATAGAAATACTAATCCCTTAAGTAATAAAAGATCCAAATTTCCTTTTGATATTTTGCACTCTATTGTATGGGAGTCGTACCATATACCTTCTATGGGAGGTTATAGATATTTCATTTTGTTTATCGATGATTTTTCAAGATATACATGGATTTACTTGATGCATTCCCGTGATGAGGTCTAAAAGTTAATAAGACAATTTCATGAACTTGTTCTCACTTAGTTTAAAACTCGTTTGAAGGTATTCCGATCTGATAATGCTAAGGAGTACTTTCAGAAGGGTCTCTCTACCTACCTTGCTAGCTTTGGAGTTATCCATCAAAGCTCTGGTCCTTACACCCCTCAACAAAACAAGGTAACTGAAAGGAAAAATCAACATTGTTGAAATTTCCAGATGCATTTTGTTTGCCCCCTCTGTTCCTATAAAATACAAGGGAGATGTTGTTTCTATAGCAACTTATTTGGTTAATTGTTTACCTTCACGGGTCCTTGGATTCAAATATCCTTTTACTCTTCTTTTTTTATGAGGACATATTCTCTATTCCTCTCAAAGTGTTTGTTTGTACTTGCTATGTGCATATTCCCAATTCACAAATGCAAAAATTTGAACCTAGAAGGGTTATTGCTATTATGATCCTCTTAGTGGTACCCAATTTGTTTCCCTAGATGTCACATTTGTTGAGTCGTCTCCTTTTTATCTAGTTCCTTCTCAGGGGAAGAAGTCTCCTCTTTTTGATATTCATCTTCGAGTTCCTATCCCTAGTGACATCTCTAATAAGTAACCAATTATACACAACTCTCTAGTTCCTTCTTCTCTGGTTCCTATTCCTTCCTCCTCTGATGTTACCTCTTCCCCCCCCCCCCTACTATTTCTCCTTTGTCTACCACCTAGTTCATGAGGGTTTATCTTTGGCACACATGTGTAAGTTGTTTCTCCACCATCACAAGGGCCTCTTGGACCTCCCATCACAAGGGCCTCGAGAACCCCCTATTTGCTAATGTTGTTCATTCATTCATCCTAATAAAATATTTTCTTAAAAAGCAATTAAAATTATAAATTCATTATTTTTTGTGTGAGAACTATGAATTTAACACCTAACATGGCCTTGTTTGGGCTTGCCTCAAGGGGTGTGGCACAAAGGTGGCTTGTAGAATCAGGAATGTAATATGTTTTACATTACATTAGCTACTTGAAGTAATGCAATTGAGTGAAAATAGAGATTAGAGGTTTTACATGCTTGAAAATGCTTGATATGTTGGATTTTATTTTTAAATTCTCATTTGAATATGCTTTACATCTTATTTTTATGTATTTTAATCTTAGATAATAGGTTTTTTAAAACATTTATTTTAAATTTTAAGTTTATATTTTTTATTAATATTATGTTTAATATTTTTTTTGATTTTTTGGCATTTTTCATGAATTTTCTGACTTTTTTTTATTTTTTAGCTTTTTTTTTTTGTATTTTTGCACCTTGCTTCAAAAAGGCGTGTGCTTCGCCTTGCGCCTTGCGCTTTTAAAATACTGACTATACCAGATCTTGACCTTCCCATTGCCATGTGAAAAGGTAAATGTAAATGTATTGCGCATTGAATCTCTAAGAACCTCTCTTATGGCTTGTTATCTCCCTCTTATTATTCCTTTCTAGCCTTTTTTTTCCTCTCATCTCATACCCAAAAATGTGTTAGAAGCAGTATGTAAACCAGAATGGAGGGATGCAATGAGAGTCAAAATGGAAGCACTTTAGAAGAGTAACACGTGGGAATTTGTTGATTTACCTAAAGGGAAAGAGCTAGAGGTTGTAAGTGTGCATACAGTATTAGATACTGACAGGTATAAAGCAAGGCTGGTTTCTAAGGGTTATATTCGAGAGTATGGGATTGATTACCTGGAAACTTTTCCTCCCATTGCCAAAATGAATTCTGTTTGAGTTCTCTTATCCTTGGCAGCTTCTTTGTCTTTGCCTTCATATCAGTTTCATGTGAAAAAAGCGTTTTTGAATGGTGACCGTCATGAAGAAGTATATATGTCTCTCCCTCCTAGCATGTATGTTAAAGAGTTAGTAGGGAAGGTTTTTCAATTGAGGAAATCTCTCTATGGGCTCAATCAATCTCCACAAGCTTGGTTTGAGAGGTTTCATAATGCWCTTGTTGGAGTTGGCTATGTTCAGACCTAATCTGATCACACCCTCTTTGTGAAGAGGAGAGATGCTTTAGTTACTATTTTGATTGTTTATGTTGATGAT